CCCCATCTCTCACGATTCGCACGGTTGAGGTGGATTGGGCATCGGTTGATGCTGATGATGATGACGATGAACACAGCAGAGGCACGTGTGTCGTACGTTTGTACTCTTTATTTTATAAATAGTTACGACCTAAAGACATCTCGAAATGTTCCCGATGACGACGTCAATTATACACACATATATATAGAACGCTAATTCGAAAGCGGAAAAGCTGAAACAGATTTTATTTTTTTAACGGAATCCAAAAAAAAAATTGTTACCAACCAAATTCTCATAGAACGTTTCATTAGTCTGACGACGCGAAGTTGCAGAGAGAGCAATACTAAGTTGGCAATCGTGTTAAAATAAAAAAGCGTCGTAACCTTTATTAATAATTAAAATAAAACATCATACAACACCTGGCGTAATATCGGATGGAAACAAATGTGCTCTACAAAGGAAGCTATGCTGCTATTGCTGTATCAATGATCCCCCCCACCCATCCAACTGCCCGCGTAAAATAGACCACGCCAAATAAATACAAAAGATTTGAGTTCCGCGCGTAATGGATTGCGAATGCAGAGGTACACATACCCACACGAACTCTATTGTATATATATACACACACACATACCATATATACTGCTGTATATTATGTACAATACATGTCCGAGCATATTTACAACGTTTTTAAAAATTTCATCTTTTATTGCAAATGCAGAAACCAACTTATCTAATGGGACGGCATTTTGTGAGATTGTCATAGAAATGCGTACAGTCAACTCTCGAACGGAAAACACGGATAATGCAATGCACGGCAAATTCGTCTGGAGCAAGTACTGTATGTATTGTTTGCGTAGAATGCTGGAGTGGACACGTAAAAGGCACCGTCTTGTGTATTTTATTGCGTCTTAAAAAATAATCAAGGAACAGTACTTGCCAAAATGTTTCGCGACCCCGTGTGGGCGCAGAGTCACTGGCCCTCAACGAGTGAGGAGCAGCAGCAGCAGCAGCTACCGATCGCTCCATCACCACGCGCTTTTAAAATGTGCCAATAAACGCGGGTCATTCCACCAATTGTAATCATCCATTCACGGATAATCGAGAGTATACGTTTTAAATTCTCCGCGGAATGTACGAAGCTCCTAACTTCCAGGCATATGCGCATCCGTGGGGTGTTGAGAAAGGCACATTCTTTCAACGTGTCGAGGCACTTTGCTGTCTTGCTGATGTGTGACGGGTGTGTGAACGGCACTGTGAACATGCAGCCCACAACTTGGCACCGTGGACCCACCGCGCGTCGCATTTAGTAAATGAGAACAATTAAGGCACGGGCTGTAAGGGTTCGTGGGGTTGTTGGCGACGATTTCTCGCGCCCTCTTGCGAATTAAATGAATCGCCACGAAGCCACCAAGTAGCGATTCCAATCAAGCATCGATTGTTGTTGTTTTAACATTGTGATTAATGCAGCGGCCCCTAGTGGCTGGAGGGATGGGCACGCAAACCGATTCCATTGTATGCAATATCGGCACGGTATAGGAATCCTAAAAAATAAAATCCCATCGATGATTCCGCACGTGCGCTACCCGATGCATGCATGTAACGTGAGTTTAAGAGTCGATATGAATCGATTATTAATCGTCCCCCCTTCCTATTCTAACGTCCCTTCTAAAGGTATCGTGTGACACTTTGTATCGGTATGTTTAAATTATAATAATTTAAAGCGCCGTGTCAATCCACTGCCGTATGATAATCGGCGTTGTTTGACCATGTTCAGGTAAAGTGGCACCACAACAGTTTCAGGCGTCAATCGAACTGAGGGCGCCGATGATGTAACTGCACGTGCAGGTTTTTCCTCGCTTCGTGCGGTAGATGCGTTCCGAAAAAAAACAAAAGAGGGCACAGCACAAAGCGAAACCGCTCGCCAGACAGCTTGCCTGCCGAGTATGCACCGCACGAACGCTGCCCCCGCGCCAGACCGCAAGAGCCGCACATTGAGTGGATTCAAACCGCATGGAGCGAATTTAGTTTGAGAAATAGGCGAATCGCATACACGCGAAATCGCACAAACCGAACTGGCATGGCGCGAGGGAAAGCCCGTAGAGTTCTGAACTCTACGGCCCTTTTGTCAATCCACTGCTGGATAACAGCCACCCCACGCCGTGTCAGCCGCGAGGTTTGCTCGACCATCCTTCGCCCTGCTGGTCAACTGCAGGTGGGTGAAAGAGGGGGCCCATATATCAAACACGTTTGGCTGCAAATTAAATTCAGGTCGCCGGGTTTAATAACGGAGCAGTGCGCTAACCACTGCGCCACCGCTCCAACCCCCCCCCCCCCCAAATAATGTACTGCAATTTTACGGGATCGTAGAATAATCATGTTGGACCGCACCGCTATTGCACCTCTCATTCGCATGCACGAACAGCGTCTCATGTCCTGGACACACGAGGTTTGACATCGAGTCGCGCTCCAAGGGCACGTACAAACATCGGCTGTACAATGCAAAGCTCTCGTAACACGTGCCCCTTGCGACAACAACAACCACAACAACAACAACCCAGCGGTAATGATATCGGTTACCGTTTCAGATTTTAAAAATCAACAACAACAAAAACATTTCAACAAAAAGTAAATACGTGCATTTCGATTTAAAGCTTTCGTGACTGCAGGGATTCATTTTCTTGGTTCTTTCGGTAAAGTCACGTAGAAGGGAAATAATAAAATAATAAAAATAAAACATCGTGAGAATTATTTTATTATGTTTTATTTTTAATTATTTTATTATTTCCCTTCTACGTGACTTTATCGAAAGAACCAAGAAGATACATACGTGCAGTTTAAAGCGACGACTTAGTCGCGCGGTCGGCACACGGCGAGTTATTTATCCAGGAGAGAGCCTCACTACCGAGTCCAACGACTCCTTTTCGTTTGTTTTCAAGGAGGGTCACCCTGCGGTTGTTTTCAACGAATTAAACGCGTTATTTATACGCGCGGGAGGAAAGCGGAGCACTCCAGAGGAAAAACCCAACGCTCGCGTCGAGGCAACAGTCTGAACCCCGTACAGATGGAAGCAGAGACGAGTTCCACACTCGATGCGCTGCCTTTCACAACGTGGCGTGCGGCGATACACCAACGCTCGCCTCCTGCACGGCGCTGGGTCGCTAAGGCCACGTGCATCGCCACCATCGCCTGGCGTGTCCACGTGGGCCCACGTGAACACTCGTGCACGCCACATGTGAACACGTGGGCCCAGGCGGAGGGGCACTTTAGAGCGTAGCATGGCTTCATTCCAAATTGCTTACCGGCCCGATCTGTTGAGAGCTGGATTCATCACGCGTTTTTCGATTGGCCCCATCCCCGTCGCAAGACCAACTGGCTTCGAGGCAGAAGTTTATCCGATTATCTCTGTAGTTAGCCAGGGTTCCCGGAAGGCACTTGAAGACCGAAGGCACTTTTATTTATTTATGTATCATATAAGGTTTTAGTGATCCTGCCAGTATTGCATTGGCGGTGTTGCCATAGACACAAATAACAACATTCAACGCGTTCGTCAATAACACCGTGGCCTTTAAAAGGTGAACAAAATACATATTTGCATTAAGGGCCATTGCCCGAAACATCGCCTTTTATACCTCTCCTCTTGGGGCGAGTGCTATTTGACGATTGTGTTCAGTTCCTTATTTTGTAATGCACAGTGTATGCAGTGTGATCCGTATATAGATACCCCACTAAAATAACGCAGATCAATAGACAACATTTATACGCATCCCACCAAACACAATACGAGTAGATATTTAATCTGTTATTTGCTCTCCTCTGCTAAGCTACGGAGCCATCGCCTCCACACACGTTTAGTCGCCGGATCGAGATAAATACAGGGCCGTGAGGAATCTTGTGGGTGGGGTATCTATAATTGGATCACGCTGCATGACCGTGCCCACGTGCGTGTGTGTGCGGCAAAGGCACAGCGGGTTGGCACGGCAGGGGGCACGGGTGGTGGTGCATCGGCCCCTCATCTCAGTCGGACGACCCGTGGCACCTGCCGGGTCTGCCCCGTGACCTCCTGCTGCCTGCCGGCGTTCGACCGCTTCGCGTGGCCTCAACGTGCACCTAGCCTGGCACAGGCGACGTGGCGACGTGAACCGCCACTTAGTGGCGAATGGCGGTTGTTATTATTGTTGTGTATATTTATTGTGCACCCTCCCTCCCCCCACGATTGAACGTGGCTGATGGTGATGTCGGTGATGATGACCACGATGACCCATCATTGACCGGGCGTGGATGCAACTGGAACACTTTGAAAACTAAATGGAAAACTAATTTAGTAGTTTAAAACTGCTTCTTAGCGTTTAGTTTGCTGTCTGCCCCACCGCCTCGCCCCGCCGCACCTCCGATTGCCACCATTGGCTACGTACGGTGCGAAAGAACGCCAACACGCACACACGCACATTGGTGACCCCACCCGCTCTCGTGTGCCCTGCCGCATTCACAGCGGCTGCTACTCGCTCACAGCACGCAGCACGTGCCGCCAGCAGTCTGCTACAGGCGATACAGGGGGGGGGGGGGAGTTGGGGGGGGTTGGGGGGGAGTTGGGGGGGAGTTGTGTGGGAGGTGGGGGAGTTGGGGGGGAGTTGGGGGGGGGGATGGGGGGGTTGGGGGGAATTGGGGGGGGGGGGGGTTGGGGAGTTGGGGAGAAGTTGTGGGGGAGTTGGGGAGGGGGATTTGGGGGGGGAGATGGGGGGGGTTGGGGGGAATTGGGGGGGAGTTTGGGGGGGGGGTGAGTTGGGGGGTGAGTTGGGGGGTGAGTTGGGGGGTGAGTTGGGGGGTTGAGGGATCTTTGTCGTTGATGGCGACCCACCACCACCACCACAATCGGCCCCGGCCGCCGCGTGCGGTTCGTCGTCTTTGAACTCCTCGCGGCGCAACTCACGACTTGACGGATGGATGAGTCGCTCGAAAACAGCGCGGGGGGGGGCGGGGGAGTCCGGGGGGGGGGGGGGGGGGCGATGTCCGGAGCGAAGTCCGACGGTGCGGGCGCTCCCACCCTGGCGATGTGATGCGGGGAGATTGTTTCGTCTTCTTCCGTGTCGCGGGAGCTTCGGGCGGTAGCTCCTAACGCGGCGGCACCCGGCACTTGGCACGCAGCGACACAGCGGTGGGCAGAGCCCCGGGACACGCGGGGTAAGCCACAGCACACTCGTGGTGTTCCCCGACTCATCGTCAATGTGCGTGTGTGCGTGTGAGTGTGTGTGGGGAGCGGTGGTGTAGCGGTTAGCGCGCTGCGCTGTGAACCTGGCGACCCGGGTTCGTATTCCCGCTCACGGCCAACACCGGTGACGATTATCTGAACCGGTCCTGGGCCTCCCCTAGGTCGACTCGGCCTCAAATGAGTACCTGGTGCGGTGTGTAAACGTTGTCACGAGGGAGACAAAGGCGGCCGGGCGTGGTAATGACCACCCCCTCGTGTTCAGTGTCGGCCTTCATAGGTCATTCACGAAATTCACTTGCCCCAACAGTCTGATAAAGGCTATATGGGGGATCTTTATCTATTTTGTTATTTATGTGTGTGTGTGTATATATATTACTATGCTACCTTCAAAATCCAGTCACTCGTCTCTGGAACAAAACGAGGCCGATCCAACTCGGCATGCGTCACGTCAAAGAGTCACTTGACAATGCGTCACCGTCAAGGGCGTTCGTAGTTCCATGTACACGCGATGTGTAAGCGTGCCCCAAGTGATTCACATCACAATGGTGACGATTTAACAGCCCCTGGGGCTTGTTTGACCTCGCTGGCCAGTGCGAGTTGGTGAAGGAAGGGAGTGGGTGGGCGAGGGGGTGCCCGTTTATGAACCGGTTCTTGATGCGTACTTTGTGCACGGGTTCGGTTGGTCACTTGGTCATGTTACGAGGCCTAACTCATAAACAAATACCCATCATTGCATTGGCTACGAACTCCTACGTTTTAAGTTTAAAACAAACAAAAAAACCTCGTCCCTTATATCGCTCGCCAATGATGTTGGCCGTGGCCGCAAATTATCGATTATTATCTATAATTATCGATTATGATAGATAATGATCGATTATTATAATTATCGATTATAATATGTAATTATCGATTATGATCGATAATTATAGATTATGATCGAACTCGGGTCGGCGGGTTCTTAACGCATGTGCGCGCTCACAAATGCACACCCGCCTCATCACCCCAACCCCCCTCCCCCACCCCCATCGTGTGATTTAGCCGCGTAGGCCATCGAGTGCCTTTATATAAGTGCGATATTTCAAAATTCCATACAAACACCGCGCGCGCGTGGACACGCACACACACACGCACACCACTCTCTGTGTGTGTGTGTGTGCCAGTCAGTAGGGTGCCGTGGTTCGAGCATGAGCCCTGGCGCAAGGCGATGGCGTGGGGGGAGGCTCGCAGGACAATATCACTCCTCTTCACGGGCACCTCCCCCGGTACGATGAACTTCTTTCGCACCGTAACGTAGCCCGCGGTGCTCATCGGAGCTGCACGGATAAATCGGAGGTTGCAGCAGCCCTCCCCCACCGACAACCGCCGTGCAACTCTGCTCTCGAATCTTCCTCTCGCGTGCCCTACAGCTGCGCGTGACCGTGGCCGCCACAGCCACCACCACCACCGCCGCCGCCGCCGCCGCCACCGCTTGGCAGCCCTCTCGCACGCGAGGTTGCCACCCGCGTCAAGCCGCCAGGCGCCGTTCAAAAGACGAGTCTCGGGTTGTGCGTCAGACTGTGCCGCCGCAGGTCACAGTTGCGCCGGAACACTTTGCCGCACTGTTCGCAGTTGTAGGGCTTGATGTCTGTGTGCGTTAGCAGGTGAGTCTTGAGGTTACTCCTCTGGTTGAAGGTCCGGCCGCAAGTCGGGCACTTGTGTGGCGACTCCTGGTGAGAGAGCGGGGGCCCCCCTTCATCGGGTGCTTAAAGCTGCACACCGCAAACAACCACCGCGGCCCCCAACACCACAGCGCACGCGCCCCGCTTTGGGCTATTCCTTGAACGGAAACCTCGCACGCTGCGCCGCGCAACAAACCACCACCACCACCAACAACCACCACCAACCAATCAACCACCACAAGCAGAAAAAAAACAAAAACCGGGTCCGCAACCCCGAGAGGCGATGAGTTGCGCAATCTAATCGCTCGAGAATTCGCCCGCAACTCGCTCGTCGCCCGCGACCGATTTTTTGTCCACGTCTGAGCGAGTGGCTTGCGCAAGACGGCAAATTGAACGGGCGTATTCCAGCGAGTATTGGGTCAACTAAAAAACACACACAAATCGTGCTTCGCAAACGTGCAGCTCGCGTGGCGACGTTGATCAAATCGGTCGCTGCAAATCGCCGAGCAGATCGACTGCTTGACGGCAGGGCTCCGTCTCTCACGCAGAGCGACCCCGACGCGCAACTTCCAAGCAACCGGTTGCAGAACGCGTCCACGTGCAAGCGAATCAGCTGCGTGCGAGCAAGCGAGTTGCGCAACTCATCGGAAGGGCGTGGGACCCGGCTTAGGAGCGGCAGAGTCACGGAGCGTGACGCTTCGCTTCACTTCATTCATGGGTCGCCTAGCCTCTCACTATGGACACTTAACATTTGACTCCTGGCACAGAGCGGGTGATGGTAACGGTCATTGAAGCGAGAATTGATCTCAATAGGGCTCTGTCCGGGTCATCGATCCCGCAAAATATTGGCCTTGCCCGGCACTTCGTTAGCGCGGTTGGCTTACGTAGGGTGCGAAGGAAGTTCACCATACTTGCATCACATCCAGTAATGCCTCTCGCTATGGGCTGCGGCTGCGAGCCTACTGCAGGCAGGTTAGCAGCTACCGCAGACAATATTCAATTAGGTCATGTCTACAATATATATATATACTTTAGTGTTATAATACACACGAAGGAATTCATGTATGCATACATTTTTCACTGATAATTTTCCAGTCGCGGCTACGCGAGAGTAGGCACGCGACTCGAAGCGGCAGCCACAGCTTAGAGCGTTACTGGATGTGGTGTTCCGGGCGATGCAGTATACTTTACGGTGTCGTTAACCTGGACAAACAAGGCTAAAATTAAGTAGCGTACATTACAGTATGTAACTTTCACGATATCATACAATACGCTTATCGATATTCGTTTTTTTGGGTGAGGCCACGTGAAAGCGTTATGCCAAAATGCTTTTTGAGACGTTAACTACCTCGCCTGGTATAGAGGCGTTCGCGGGTTAGATCCCGACCCTGGACGTCTGCTGTAGATTTGGAGTTTGCGTGTCTCTCTCCCAGTAGTCGCGTGGATTTTTCTCCGGGTCCTTCGGTTTTTTCCCTCCACATTTAGAACCAACGTGCATTTAGAGTATTCGATTGCCATAAATGTTTACACGATGAGCCACTTCAGTGAGCTATCATTTGTAATAACCAGGTCGCTTTTGAAAAGGAGCTACATCGCTTAATAGGCCTTACCTGGCAAAATAAAATGTTTGGTTTAGTTTGCCATAAACCTTCAATCACCCGACAAGATGATTGCGTTCAGAATTATTGTCTGATTGTATAATAGTTAGAATAACAGAATTAGATCATTGGAACGCATAACGATTCTCATGCAGGGTTTCCCAAACTCCAGTCCTTGCGACTCACCACACGATGTCTTTCCGCGTTTACCAATTTACTTACTCCCCCCCCCAATTGAAATACAAATAAACGCGTTTCACGCTGCACACGTCAGATGATTGTTAAACACGCCCCAGCGGTGACGCGCTGTCAATTTGCTCAAATAAGTGTTGATGGTGAAAGCAGACCAATCGGACCATGTCGCACCTCGTGTAAGAACCGGTGATGGCTGTTTGCATCGCGCACAAATGTGGCCGGATTGCTGATCGTATGCACGTGTTTGTGCGTTTTGTTTGAAGGGGAAACAAAAGGCGTGGTTTTCCCGTGTGCGCTATCATTGTTACGGTGATTGAGGTTATGGTGTCATTTACAGATGTGATGTGCCAGTCTGTTGGAAGGGGACTGGCAAGCCGTTCGTTAACGAGGTTATTTAATAAAATAAATCACGACGTTTCGGGCGCACAACACGCGTGCATGATCAGGTGGGAAAGCACCTGATGATGAACGCTTGTGTTGCGCCCGAAACGTCGTGATTTATGTTATTTTATACCTATGTGACTTTATCGAAAGAACCAAAAAGTATGGATTCCTGCAGTCACGAAAGCTTCCAATCAAGATTGAGGTTATTTAAGTTGAATTAGGTTGAAAGCGTCCACACAGTTATTTTGTCCGTCTGTCTGTAACACGGGGTCACGTTGACTCTCATAACGATTTTCTTTTTGATGTTTATTTGACCAGGTAAGGCTCACTGAGCTATACAGCTCTTTTTTTATCAGAAGCGCCCTGGCCACTAATGATAGCTCAAACGAAGTGTCTCATCATGTGTGAATGTATAGCAGCCAAATAATTTTAAACGCGCGATGTCGATTCTAAATGTGGTGGGAAACACCGTAGGACACGGAGAAAAGTCCATGCGACAACGCGGAGAGACAGACACCCAAACTCCAAATATATATATATAACAGGCGTCAGGGTCAGGATCGAACCCACGACGTCCTGTATACCGGGCGCGGTAATTAACATCTCGCAGCCACCGCGGCGCCTCCGATGATCCAGCAACGGACAAGAGTCCGCAACATTTCTCGAAGGTGCGGCCCAAATTTGGAGACATTTAACCATTTCAAAGTTGACTAACGGACGACCACGTTTGGCTACGTAACGTTGGTAAACAAATGTGGCCGTGGCATCACACCACGCGCTCATTGCCAGGGCCTCGGTGCACATTGTGGGGGGGGGGGCAAGGTGGGACACTCCGGTATACTATACTAACAATTGTATATAAATGCATTGCTCTTTTACATAATAAACTTATTTTTTTAAAATGTGTCGTTCACACCAGCTACCAAACCGATGATACCAGCCAATTAGTAAGGTTTTGTAACGCACACAAAAGGTGTGAGTTGGTTGCTACTTCATCACACCGCGTTGTTGTGTGTTGTGTTGGAGAGGAAACCCACAACATTTACAACCAGATTCATCGGGTGATTTTGCCTGGAATTAATTTGGATAATAATGGTCGCGAAAGCCTACGTGTTAAGCGTACAGCTCCTTTGTCAATCCACTGCTGGGTGAGGGCCTGCACACGCCAGCCATGCGAGACGTGGGGGTTGTGTGGCCATACTTCACCACGCTGGTCAGTGCGGGTTGGTGAGAGGGTGGGGTGAGGGTGGAAGGGGGGGGTTGGATCAGTTCAATGATTACTTGTCACTGATGTCAGACGTGGCCGGTAATCGAACGAACTCAGTTCGCAGCGCACTAGCGTTAATCACTGCGCCACCGTTCCACCCCGAGGGGATAGGTCATATATATACGCATTGTAGATTTGAAGCTTTCGTGACTGCAAGGATTCATACTCTCAGGTTTTTTTGGTAAAGTCACGTAGGTAAAATAATAATATTAATAATAAAATAACATAATAATGAATGAATAAAGAAATTAATAAATCAATTTAGTTATTTTTCATTTATTATTTTCCATTTATTATTATTATATATATTTTTTTACCTACGTGACTTTACCGAAAACAAACCTAAGAGTACACACACACACCCCAATTTGCCTGGGGTTTGTGGAGTAATGGATGGTGAACATCTATTGTGATTCGTGCGTCACGTTGGCCAAGCCTGCTGCTCAGACTGTCACGTGACACGCGAAGGTGAGCGCACTGCGCCTTGTGCACTCGGCCGTCTGAGTTCCCATTGTGAGCCACGATCAACGTGAGCGGCGAGCGGACATCTGAAACGGTCCTAGACCCCTCTACCCCCTCCCCGCCTCCCCGTTCTCTCTAACCCCCATTCGCAAGCCCGCACTACCAGCGTGTTGAATTGTGGCTAAACAACCCCGTACGAACAACGCCCGCGTGGATGGGCCAGTGTTACGTGACGTTTCGACGGTCGATTGACAAAGGAGTGGTAAATGTGAATTTATATTACGTCTGAAAAGTGATTGTGAGCGAGGCTTCGAGCCATCGTCAAGTTGAATAATGACAACAATAACTTTTCGATTTAAAGCTTTCGTGACTGCAGGGATTCATCTTGTTGGTTCTTTCGGTAAAGTCATGTAGAAGGGAAATAATAAAATAATAAAAATAAAACATAATATAATAATATACAAAAATAATATAATATAATAATTTTTCGATTTAAAGCTTTCGTGACTGCAGGGATCCATCTTCTTGGTTCTTTCGGTAAAGTCACGTAGAAGGGAACCTGAGGACGGCTGCTTGCGTTGTGGCCGAAACGTCGTGAGAATTATTTTATTTTATTATGTTTTATTTTTATTATTCTATACTAATTTAATTATATTATTTTAAAATAATATAATATAATAATTGTATTATATTATTTTATTATGTTTTATTTTTATTATTTTATTATTTCCATTCAACATGACTTTACCGAAAGAACCAAGAAGAAGAAAAAAAAAGAACAACAATAACGGCGCGATTCGCCAGACTGGAAGATGTTGATTGTCTCAGTGTTCTTCACGCATGAAACGTGGGACCGAGTCCGTTTCGTTTAGATCAAGAGCTCACAAAGGTGGCTGCGTAATGTCGTACGATATGAAAAAAAAATCAACTCAACAGCACGCGTGCACGCTTCGCTTGCGAACAAGAAGGTTGAGATATGACACGAAACTGCTCCAAACGTCTGTGCCAAAAAATGATTATCCCGGAGTTATTTTATGAAGAGCCCTTGTATAGGCGTAATGCGCGCGTATTAAATAAACTAGGAGCAACTATTTGTTTTATTTATATTTTACCAAGTATGGCTCACTGAGCTGCAGAGCTCTCTATCAAAAGCGACCTGGCAATAACAAATGATAGCTTCACGAAGCGGTCCATCACGTGGATATGTATTGCAGTAGCCAAATCATCTCAACGCACGTTGATTCCAAATGCGGAGGTGGGGTGGGGGGCAAACCGGAGGACCCGGAGAAAATGCCACGTGGCCACGGGGAGAGAAAGAGAGAGAGAACACGCAAACTCCAAATATACAGCAGGCGTCAGGGTTCGGCATCGAACCGACGACCTCCTGTATACCGGGCGAGGCAGTCAACAACCTCGCCGCGGCATTCAGAAGCTTCGTGTCATCTGGGCCACGGCTTTACCTGCATGTGAAGGGTCTTGTGCACGGCCAGTGTCCTCGACTGACAGAAGCCCTTCCCGCACTCCTGGCACTTGAAGGGCTTCTCCTTCGAGTGGATGTACCTGCGCGCGCGGACGTCAAGGGGAGCGCGACGCGCACGATAAGTTACGTCCGCTGTCTTCCGTCCGAGGCGTCTCAGCGTGAGGGGTGCTCCCCAAAGGTCGGGGACGCATACGTGCGGCGAGAAGGAAGTTCGCCATGCGTGCGCAACACACGTGCGCGCACAGGGTTCTTTCGCTTAGTTTGACAGTTGGCGTCACAGTGATGTCACTCCTGGTGCTTGTCTCGCTTGGAGCACGTGAATGTGCAATGGTCGTCGAGTCAAGATCGGTGGTTGTGAACTCTGCGCCGATATCGGCAGCCATACGAAAGACGAAGATGACGAAGAAGATTACAAGTGTTTCTTTTCTTCTTCTTCTTAAAGTTACTATTTTATCTACGAGCATTGTTAATATCGATGTTTGGTCATGTTACTGTCGGGGTCACCTCGAATTCTTCGTTTACAAAACTCGACCAAGAATCCCGAATGAATAAATACATGAATTGAGACGAAACGTAATTGATTAATGTTCAAGGATGACAACTGTGAGCTTTACAACAACAACAACATCCAAAAAGTCCTAAATTAATTTCTAAAGATAATTCATGCATCACGACAGAATGGTGATGGCAATGAGCTCGAATATTAGAAAAAAAATAAATAACCGAATGTGATTTGTTCAAACAAATAGAATTAAACTCGATTTGAAGCTTTCGTGACTGCAGGAATTACTCTTTAGTTCTTTCGGTAAAGTCACGTAGAAAGAAAATAAATAAAATAATAATGCAATGCAACGCAGAGAGTCGGCTAACACAGTTAACGCATAGCCTGGTTGATGACGTTCTCTAAATTGAGAAGTTAATAGAATAACCCGATGTGCCAATGCCTTTATGTTGCACGTGTGGCTAACTCGACAGCTGCGAATAACTCTATAAATGTACTCTGCGTGAGTGGTTGTTAAATAAAACTAATCATTATCATTTTAATAATGCTGCTTTATTTTTCCAAGAAAAGCATCACTTGGGTCTCAAGACTCTTTTGAAATTGGTCGCGAAAGCCGACGTGTTAAAGTCTTTGAGGCGGGCTATGCATCGGGTTGTTTGTCCAGAAAAAAACATGCTCTATTAGATCTGAATGTGCTTAACTCTGACTACAATCAGCATTTACATTCATGCTGCAGCTAAACTATATCTAGTTTTTATTTATTTTACCAGGTAAGGCCCATTGGGCTATGTAGCTCTTTGTCAAAAGCGACCTGGCTCTCACAAACGATAGCTCAACGAAGTGGCTTATCGCGTGTAAATGTTTCGCAGCCAAATACTCGAAACGCACGATCCTAAATGTGGAGGGGAAAACCGAAGGACCCGGAAAATAATCCACGCGACCACGGGGAGAGAGACACACAAACTCCAAATATACAGCAGCAGGCATCATCAGGGTCCTCATGTATACCAGGCGAGGTCGTCAACATCTCCTAGCCACCCTTGCGCTCTGCACTCTAACTGCGCGACTGGAACTCAGTTCCTCATCTGCCTTGAGCGCCTCGCCTGACCCATAACATAACCTTACACCAGCAGGCAAGTACATACCAGGTCCACAAAACACGCATCAACATGTTTTCCTTTCGTGCACATGCGCATTGACCAAGCATTTGGTTACAAGTACAAATACTTATTTTTTTAAACGTGTATTATTAAATAAATAAAGATCATCTTCAAAAAAGCACATTCGCCATATATTACATTTTTTTTCCAAACGTATTAAACTATAATAAGGCGAACTTTATGCTGACAGTGCCGTATAATTGATTTCCTATATCGAGTTTAATAACAACAACAACAGACAATTGTAGCCAGTGTTAGAATAATGCGCGCACACACACACATATATATGTATATGCTGTGCGGGTAGTCACCCACGTCGAACATTTGAGGTTCGTGATTCATTCCACTCGACTCTTTCTCAATTCGAAGCCGTCATCCAACAGCAAAGGAACGAGCAACGCTGGGTTTCCAGCAACAGCAGCAGCAGCAGCGCCACCAGTAACCCACTGCCGTATATGCCGTGTATGTTATATATTTTTATGAGCCTACCGGGATTTTCAATCCATCATTCAGGTTTATTATGGGTTCTTTGGGACCAATTTTCTTCCGTGCTACGCACCCGTTTATATTCTCGTTACGCCCCTAATGGCGTTGTCAAGTGCGCTCTCGTTTCTAAACGTGGTTAGCGAGGGCGCGACTGAATGAATGCGCGCACAGCCATCGCGCACAGCGGCAGCAGCTGCTGCTGCTGTTGTTGTTGTTGCGTGCTCATTGTCAACAACAGCATGGGCCGCACCACATGGCTTGGTTAAGCGTTGATCATAAATACGCCTATAGGGGATGACTCATGCATGATTAACGAAGGGGGTTTTAGACAGGTGTTTGAACAGCGTAATTGTAATGTTGGCAACACGTTCATCCCTACTCCTTGAATAGTTTTTTTATATTAATATATATTTAAAATTTAAAGTTCGAGTGATCGTCAACAGAACGGAACACAAGGGGTTTGGAAGCCCGAGATGTTAGCGGAACACAATGGCACACACTCTCAATCTCGACGCGGTGTCAATCTGACCAACTCCACGGCGGACACGTGCAAGGGTGAGAGGGATGAGAATCGGTGCTGTATTATTAGTATTGGTAGTAGCAGCAGTAACCCTGTATATAAATCACACTGCCAAACGAAGTGTGCGTGAGTGGGCTGGCGCGGTGGTTTGTGGGGAGCGGTGGTGCAGTGGTTGGCGCACTGCACTACGAACCCGGCGACTCGACTTCAACAACAGTGACGACTATTTGAGCTGGTTCTGGGCCTCACCTAGGTCGGCTCAGCCTCAAGTAAGTACCTGGTTACGGTGTGCTAAACATCGCCACTAGGGATACAAAGTGTGGTGTTGGCCACCCACCCCCTCGTGTGCCGTGCTGGCCTTCATATGGGCTCTCCAACAGCACTTGCCCCCGAAAGTGTGTTAGGGGCTATGCGGGTGATATTATCTCTTTAATTAACGCACAGACCATTGTCAATATACTGCTGTGTGAAGGGCAATGTCGTGACGTTATGGGGACTGTGGAACCATCAAAGGTGTACCTGCCGCGGTGTGTAAACATCGCCACTAGGGAGACAAAGGCGGCCGGGCGTGGTGCTGGCCACCCACCCCCTCGTGTGCCGTGCCGGCCTTCACAGGCGCTCGCTAACAGCACTTGCCCCAACAGTCTGTCACAGGCTACACGGGGCATCGTTTGTCTTCGTAGGTGACACGCAGCGGTGGTGTAGGGGCGTGTAGGTGACAATCCACTCAGGTGTGTGTGTGTGTGTAGGTGAGCGCGCTGATGTAAGTGTAGGTGACAATCCACTCAGGTGTGTGTGTGTGTAGATGCAAGTGCAGGTGGCACGGGTTTCGCGAGTTCGCCTGCGAGCCGCGTTGTCCTACCTGTGGTCTCGCAGGTGGTCCTGCCTCCGGAACGCCTTGTGGCAGATGTCGCACGTGTAGGGCCGCTCGTCCGTGTGCGTGCGCTCGTGGATCAGCAGGTTGTAGCTCTTGGTGAAGTGGCGGCAGCAGAACTTGCAGATGAACTCCTTCTTCGCCTTGGAGGGCGCTCGCCCGCGCGTCGCTTTGTGCCCCACTTTATTCTGGATCGCTGGGACGCCGATCACCACGGACGCCACCGCGGCTCCCCCTCCTCCTCCTCCCCCACCTCCTCCCCCTCCTCCTCCCCCACCTCCTCCTCCCCCACCTCCTCCTCCTCCTCCCGCAAGCGCGGCGCTCTTGAGCCTCTTCTCCTCCTCGAGGGTTTCGCGTCGGGTCGCTGCCGCCGCGAGATTCGCGAAGTCGAACCTCGGCCGCTCCTTGCGCGCCAGCAGCGAGTGGCGTTTGTCGTCCGCGTGGAAGGAAGAGGAGGAGGAGGTGGAGATGGCGTGATGGTGGTGGTGGTGGTGGGGCGACAGCGGCAGGAGCGGCAGAGGAAAGCGTCCTTCGAGCACCGCGCAATGCTCAGGAAGCACCGCTGCGGCCGCGGCCAGGCGCGGGTAGCCGAGGGTCCACTGCTGCAGGTGAAGGCCCTGCAAGGCCCCGAATCCGTAGAGCGCTTCGAGACCCGGAGGGAGGGCGCCCACCGCTTGCAGGAGGTTGTAGTTGACGGTGAAGGGCAGCGCCGGGTTGATGGGTATGGGGGCGGGCAGCGCTTTGCTCCCCATGGCCAAAGGGGTTGGCGGCGGCGTGGGTAGCTGGAAGCAGGTTCGCGCCGGCGAGCCTGTGTGTGTGTGCGTGAGTGTGTATGTCGGCACATGTCAGAATGTGTGTTAGCGCTGGAGGAATTCGATGAGCTGCGATGCGAGCTCTTTGTGTGTCCACGCGTGTGTTGCGGTCGTGTCATCGGCGGTGTCGTTCGCAACGGTGTCAGTGTCATCCATCAGCAGTAATAGTAATAATCATTAGTGAGGTCTCGCATCATCAATATTATCATCATCATCAGGATTGTTGTCAGCTCATCAGCAGCAGCAGCATCAGACGTGGACAATCCACCGATGGATGAAGTCCACTCCCTCCCCCTTGCTCCCCCCCACAAGATATCATCGCATCGCACAGCCCTGTGATTGACGTACAGGTAACGTTGTAAGAAAAATAAAAAAAATCCAATCAACTGCGGGGAACATTTCGTCGCTGCATCTCACACGGAGCGGCGCTTTGTGCATAACACAGCACGAGCATTGCACCTCGCAGTCCGCCTTCGATGGTTCGTTCCTGAGACCACCAACCCTCTGAATGTTCCAAAAGACAAGTTCTTAAATACAAGTTAAGGGGGAGGGAGGGATCGTTCTGTGCGGAGACCAAATCACCGGAGATGCGCTTCATTTCGTCGTGAAGCGGGAAGGCACGCAGGTTCAAGGATGGATACAGCGCATTGCCACATCGATCGACCGATATGCCACCAAGGAAGGGAACTATGAACTCGGTTCCAAACATTGGGAGGGGGTCTCATCTGCAGAGTGTAATTCTCTCAAACAAATGCGACCGCTTTGCCACATCCACGTGCTATTGGCATGTGCACCCCCCGGTGTGTTGAAGCAACAACATTTACAATTTGAGTACGACGTTTCGCTGGTAATTGCAACCAGCATCATCGGGCAATTCGCCAGAATGGTGAGGCTCTCCTGTGTCTCCCGTTCTGCTGCTCTATATAAGAACGGGAGACAGGAGAGCCTCACCATTCTGGCGAATTGCCCGATGATGCTGGTTGCAATTACCAGCGAAACGTCGTACTCAAATTGTAAATGTTGTTGCTTCAACACACCGGTGGGCTAAAGCAGTGAACTATTTGTCTTTGTCAACGTGACACATTTTTACTGATTGGCCGTGTCGGGTGGTGGAGGGTTACGACACATTTATAAATTAACGCGATCTAAACCCAAAAATCGTTGATTATGAATAACATTGGTCGCGAAAGCCTACGTGTTAAACTGATGTGCACCCCGTCAACGCCACGAAGCACAGTTCAGCGTAGCGAAAGAAAACATCGAGTGCAGTGCGCTTTAAATGCGATGGCGTTTGCACGTGAATGTGTCTGAATTTGCGATGGTTGTTTTACGCGTTGCGTCACAGGCATTTAGTCGTGTGGCTAGTGTTGTTATGGGGTTTTGTTTTGTTTTACTATATTTTAGTTTGCCTTACATTTAGCATTTGTTGCTGTTGTAACAATGGTAGGCTGGTTGTCTTATTTATTTAATGGATCCCGTATTAAACGCGTTTGTTTTTGCATGGCGTTTACATTTGACCCGTGTCTCCCCCACCCCTCCCCCCGACTAATTTATCTTACATTAATGTCTCGTACGTTAATGAACGCGCACAAAAGTAACAACCGAACCTTTGCCAATCCACTGCTGAACGAGAGCCTCCCTAATGCTGTGCGGACCGTGGGGCTTATTTTATTTTTTCTGTAACCATACTTCAACAACCCTGTCTCAATGCGGTTTCGTTGAAGAATATTTTGTGAATGTAGTCCTGCCAATTCCGCCACCCCCCCCCTCCTCCTCTTTTGCGTTTAACTTCCCAGCCTCGCTATAACCATAGCTGCAATGTTTGTTGGGGCTGTGTATCGTACGCCACATGCAGCTGTATATCTGCGGTGGTACGAGAAGCAGCAGCAGCAGTGGTGATGATCACGTGTTACTTATCTTGGCATCAACAAATGCCGCGTTTATTAATTCCTAATCTTGACCGATTGGGGACAGATAAAGGCTCTTGACGTTCAGGACGCTTGCGACCACGTTGTGAGTTTATGTGTGGTATTAAAAAAACGAAAATAGTGAAGGGTTGACCGGTGACTCAGGGATGAGCGTACTCCGCTAAGACATCTGGCGGCCTGAGTACGATTATCTGCCGTGGTTGATACCAGTAGCGAGTGGTGATTATCTGGACCGATTCTGTGCCTGCTACCCCCCCAGCTCGCCAACCTGCACCAAAACAGAGTGGTGAAGTATAACCAGCAACCCTCATCTGTGGCGTTTGGTATACGAACATTTGCGTCTGCGTGGGAGATTTTTAGCCCTTAGTCAACCCACTGCTGTAAAAGCAGACAATGGGTCAAACTAAATTAGTAACCTCGAGTCTCCAAAATACTGGGAGGTGACGTGGACGTGGTGCTGTATATTCTCAAAACCGATTTGGTTTCAAACCTCGGACCGGCAATGAGTCATTGCGTGCAGAGGTTCGTTGAATCGAAATACGATATCCCGTTCCCAACACTTCAACGGTCACGCTGTTCAGACGATACGTTTGGCCAAATCCAGTTGATGGTGTTTTGTTGAAGAGTGTGACGCTAAAGCCCACAGAAAGCAGAGAAGAAGAATAACAACCCCGCCGCTGCCGATTAATAAACTATTACGAAACTTTTGTTTTTATTTTACCAGTTAAGGCCCACTGAGCTGTCTGGCTCTTTTTCAGAAGCGACCTGGCGATCGCGAATGATAGTTCAACGAAGTGGCTCATCACGTGGACATTTCGAGCAGACGAATACGCGAAACGCACGTTTCGAAATGTGGAGGGCCAAACCGGAGGACCCGAAGAAAAATTCACGCGACTGTTGGGAGAGAGACACGCAAACGCCAGATATACAGCAGGGGTCAGGGTCAAACCCACGATGTCCTGCATACCAGGCGAGGTAGTTAACATCTCCTAGCCACCGTGATGATGATGATGAGAGAGAGAGACACGCAAACTCCAAATATACAGCAGCAGGCGTCAGAGTCGGGATCGAACCCACGATCTCCTGCACACCAGGCGAGGTAGTTAACATCTCCTAGCCACCGTGATGATGATGAGAGAGAGTAAGAGACACACGCAACCTCCAAATATACAGCAGCAGGCGTCAGGGTCGGGATCGAACCCACGACCTCCTGCACACCAGGCGAGGCAGTTAACATCTCCTAGCCACCGTGATGATGATGAGAGCGAGAGACACGCAAACTCCAAATATACAGCAGCAGGCGTCAGGGTCGGGATTTAATCCACGATCTCCTGCACACCAGGCGAGGTAGTTAACATCTCATAGCCGCCGCGGCGCCATCAAGAGCATGCCACGTGCGCTGTGTGATGACTTCTGGCGCTTGTTGAAGGACGCTGTCAAGCAGCAGGAAGCAAGTGCCCTTTAAGCGCTCTGTCGGAGCTTGGGATCTTGGAAGATTCCCACTGATCGTACTCAGGATCAATTCCCGGGTGGTGGTGGTGGTGGTGGCTACGCTGCTGCGCGTGGTCGCCTCTAATCCAGCGCTGTGGAGGCGACAGAGAGGGTTGTGGGGTCACACGCACGGGCACTAGCGGAGCCAGTGGGAGGGGTGTCACGTGCCCCCCCCCCCCCCCCCCCAATGATCCGATCGAAATCCCTATTTTCGATCGGATCATTGAGGTTTATTAGTTATAAAAACGGCATTTTGCGACCCTCACTTCCACTGTGCAGCTATATTATTACGTGCCAGGGACTCTATGAGATGATAGGACAATAGTCTGAGTCCATAATTGGCAATAAGTAACGGCAAAGCAGTTATAAGTGACTCACAGAATTGTGCGCAGTTGCGTATACAGCACACGACTTCCCTGAAGTCATTCACCTTCAGCGAGCGCGATGCCGATCACACGACGCGGTTCAGATTCGACCCTCGATCGATGGCTGTGCCATCGCCGCACACGCGTCGAATACAAAGCAAGGGACAAGTCCTTACTTACTAACAACTCCTTACTTACTAACAACTCCTCTATCATTTTTCATTGCTGGAGGGGTTGCCAATCCTACCTGGAAATCCTGGCTCCGCCATTACGCATGGCCACGTTGTGAGGCTACTCCCTCCCCATGGGAGTCGAGGATGTGCCATATACAACTCTTGCAAATGAGGTTCCAATGGTGTAAATACTTACCCCGAGCTCTCATACTCTGATGGTGCATTGTCTTTGAGTTGTGCGCCTTTTGGCGTCATCTGGTACAACACCTTGTGAGACTAGGCTCTAAGGAAAGCTGTCTCGGGTGTGGACCAATCAACTTCAAGGACAGTGCATACATGATCAGAGTTATGTTTTTGTTTGCATTATGACTGCAGGTATTGTGGTCTATGCAAACATGACTCCTTGTAAAAAAAGGTGTCAGTTTTGTTGCCAGATAGAGGGGTTAAAAAACTATTATCATATTTTTTACTGGCAAATGAGGTTCCAACGGTGTAAAAAATTAACCCGTAAAAACAAAGTTTTTCATTATAAATCCTTTATATGCGTGGCATCGGTTTTATTTTATTATTCATTTTTGTTTTTCTTGAGTAACAGTTTTACTTTTATCACATTGGTATTTTAAATTAAATATGAAAAAAAATTCCTAAAAAGTGGAAAATTTAGGAATTTTTTTATCACGAAATAAAATTGTCATGCACAACGAGTCTGTGTGCAAAATGTCAGCTCGATTGGATCACGGGAAGTGGGTTAAAAAACGACCGAAAGATGTGCACGGTCGTAAGCGCGCAAGCAAGCAAGCAAGTGAACTTAATATAAAGGATTAAATAAGTATAACCCGTAAAAACAAAGTTTTTCACTCTAAATCCTTTATATGCGTGGCGGCTAGAGTCCTCTCGTCCTCTGGCTTGAGATGGCTGCCACCTATGGGTCAGATGATTGTCTGCAGTATTAAACAATTGGTAATTAAATATTTAATTTGTTTTCCCTAAACAGTGTAAAATTTTGGAATTTTTTTTTTCACGAACATTAATTGTCTCG